TTATGTTAAGAGAAATGTCTTATTTAGATTTAAAATATTTGCAGTGCACTAGCCCATGGAAAGAGAGATCACAACAGCGGGCTGTTCTCACAGCAAATGATAAGAGTGAATTAGGTTGTGAATGCCGCAACACAAACAGATAGTTTTGCACACACTCCTGTTTATTCTTCTTTGATGATGGGGCATCTCTCTTTCCTTTCGGCAAACTGGGCATGGAAACTAGAAATTGAAGATAAAACATGTGAAATACTCCAGGAGAATTTTAACCGGTTCAAAGTCATTATTATTGAGGCCGAACCCTAGTCGGGAAAATCATTTTTAATTACTACTAAATTTCAATTTTCTTTCTGAGAGCAGACAACAAAGGAATGTCGGAAGAGCGGCTACATTGTTTGAAATTTTGTGAGAATGGGTTCCCAAACACTATTGTCCCCTAGCATTGTGCTCAATAAATATAAAGAAACTCGTTTTAAATGTTTGGCTATTTCGGTAAAGAGTCCAGTATAAAATATGTCCTTGAATGCTTGGAATCCAAAACAAAAGTTTTCTGTGGTTTTAATGATCTTCCATTTGTGATATGTTTCGATTATGACTGCTTAATTATTGTGGTAGATTTCCACATTTGCAGTAACAATCTGGAAGAAAGAGGTGCAGTAGAACTATGTGACAGGCTTAGAAATGTTGGTTTGACTCGCATGCTAAACTGCAAATGTCAAAAAACAGGGACATATTTTGGTATCATAAGATAAGGGTTTAAACAATCTCAAGGTGTTTGTAACTGATCTTGCTCTATCGGACCACTTTTCTCGCAGTTTTGTAAGCATAATATTCAAGGTCTTAGCCAAAGAGACATCATAAGGGAACACACCTTTAAGGACAGGTGTATTTAAATCTGTAACCACATTTAATCTTCTACATACACTTTGTTCTGTAACTCTGTAGATAACTTTCATTTTAAAATTTCTTATATTGTAACAGTTTCGAAATGCTATGGTTTATCCACAGTACTAAGACTTCAAGAACACTGCCAGGATTAAAGGTCTAATGTCCAAGCAATATCTAAAAAAATCCTTCATGCATTTATCTTTAGTGTATATTCATAGATTTGCCTAAAAAGTCCATCCAGGAGTGCAGCTAATCCAAAACTAAGTAATTTTTCCCATTTATGCAATAACTGTTTCAGACAAGGGTTCAAACAAACAGTTTGCTCTAAAAGGATAACCTTTGAGTTGGAGAACATCTAATTCTTAGGTCTGCACGGAGTAATTTCAGTTTTACATGTTTTTCAGTGAGGCTAATCTGGAAGATGTGGTTTTATCACAAGTAATGGCATTTACCTCCATAGCAGGAAAAAAAAGCTAAGGTTTGGAGGAAGAGTCTATACAAAAGAAAGAAAGCAGAATATAGAAAATGTTTGTCTCCTAACTGTGTTTACATCTTGTTGCCTAAATGATCCCTCCCTCCTCCATCCATCCATCCATCCTTCCATCCATCCATCCATCCATCCATCCTTCCATCCATCCATCCATCCATCCATCCATCCATCCATCCATCCATCCATCCATCCATCCATCCATCCATCCATCCATCCATACATACATACATACATACATACATACATCCATCCATCCATCCATCCATCCATACATACATACATACATACATACATACATACATACATACATACATACATACATCCACCCAGTTTGACAAAGGTAGAAATGAAAACAAAAAAAACCTTCAAATCTAAGTCTTGACATGCATGTAATTTTGACACCAAGGGACGTGTAGGACCCCTGACAATATTAAAATATGGCCACGAATGCTTGCTAGGTCTGATAAAATACCTATTAGAATAAAATTTAACCTGAGCAGAGTTGTTGTTAACGGTGATAAATTCCTTTAAATAAATAAAAAAACATAATGTTAACAAGCACAGTCATAAGCACTTGTTTTAGACCAGCGACCACATCAATGAACATACAGCACTCGTTCACAGGTGTTTCCTCTTACAGCACCAGAGACTGGCTTCTCGTAGCAGGTGGTGGTGGGCGATAAGCGAAGGGGGGTGGGATCAACGAGCAGATAAAGCCACAATGACAGGCAGGGGAGAACGACTGCACGGAAATTGAATCGCTGAAGCGTCACATATACTTTAGAAAAAAAGGCAGAGGGATGGGGAAAGATGAAGCAGAGGGGCCACAGACAGACAAAGAGCAGAGGGATGTTTAAGGATGGCTAAAAGAAGTGCATGCCAGGCCTGACTTGAATCACATTTTTTTAATAAAAGCAGAGGAGCAAATTGGAAAAAGAATGAATGGTAGTTATAGAAGAATCTGTCACATGTTTACAGCTAATAACTAATTACCAATGAGGAAGACTGAGTCACAGTGAAGTCCTGCCCTTAAGTTACATTTCTACCTCCAATCCCATTTTTTTCTTCTTTTGCTCTGACATGTAATTCCCTCTTTAAATTATTGGATCTGCCTTTGTGACAGAAGGACATTACCTGCCTTGTTTCTCATAAAACACATACAACTATATAATGTGAACAAATTTAGCCTTAAACAAGCCTTATTAGAAATAGCCATGGTTATGTAGCATGCAGACAGTTTTGTTTTGTTTTGTTTTTTAACTAGACAATCCGTTTCCAGAATTTAACACTTTCCCTGGCTCCAGGTTCTGGAAGGAAAGTAAGACCTACTTCTCGCCAGTCTTTCTAGCTTGTACTGGGATATTCCAACACATTGTCAGGCTATAAAGGACATAGAGTCTATCCAACAAGCCATGGCTTTGCCCTTCTCCTTTTACTAGTATGGTGGTACTGAAAGATGTTTGTAAGTAATGATGGTGATCTTAATGCCAGAAAGCCAAACATGGATTTTTTAACAGCTGCTTTGTCATAAAAAAGAAAGGCTTAAGGACTCCCTTTCTTCATTCTCCATGCCTTAGAATTTTGGATATTTATGTCAACACTAAGCCAAATATCTACTTATACTAAGCTTACACTTTGCATCATAACAATGAAACAGAAAACCAAACAAAGCAAGCCGAGGCATCTTTGCAGAGAAATTCTGTGCCCCTCTGTCTAGTCGCTCTTTTTTCAGTTTCATTGGATCAGGCTGTCAGAGAGAAATCCAATTTTTCGTAACAGCACCATGTTGTCCTGATAAGATCTATCATCTGAGCAGAAGCTACAGCCAGACAGCCAGAGCATTGTGGCAACCTGTTACAACACTGACACACAGATACCTCAGAGATGCTAAGGAAAGGATAAATGGACTGATATTCCAAGCAAACCTCTTCAAGTGAACTGGCAAAAAGAGACTGATGGAAAAGCAGGAAGCATTTAAAACCTTTCAAAACCATAAAACAATGCTCAGTATAGAGAACACCTTAAATCACAACACAATATAACAGACCTTAGAGTACAGTTGCTAAAGATATATAGGGAAATATGTCTTACTTAATGAAAGCCTAAAAATTTTGAACAACTGTCACTCAAAATAAGGGTTTAAGATGCCTATGTATTTTGATGAAAATAGTACTATATATTTGTTCAATGTAATTACTTGTTTACATGTTAATCAAATATAATTTACGTCACTGTAATACTTATACAGTACAGGAGAGCTCCAATTAGGGATTAATCATAAATTTGTTAGCTGACTAACAAATAGAACTGGTAGAAAAATGTGTTATTTCAATAAATCTTGCTAAATAAAATAAGAAGTCTGAAATATTTCTAGACAATTTTCTGGATATTTGTTATGTAGTATTATTTATTTATATTTTGGAAGGTGGATTACAAAATGTTAGCTATGAACTGTTTTAAGAGAGTCGAAAATGATGTCTTAATACTTATACAGTCCACAAATCATGAAAAAAAAACAATGCCTAAATATGCTTCTTTTGGCTTCAGTTTTCAGAGGTATGTAAATTAATCATTCCTCCATATTTATCTAGACTTAGACAATCATAAAAAAAATGCCTTTCAGACTTTTAAAACAGCACAGGAAACCCTATTAGAATTGCTGATCATAAAGATTGTAGCAGGAATGTTTAAATGAATAAACTTACAATTACAATCACTTTGAACTATGCCTCAGGTGTGCCCTCCCCATGTGTTGCCCCAAGACTTAAAGTCTTAAATCTCATCATAAAGATATACAGAAATTGGAATTTCTTTTCTTCATACACTCATTGGAATCCATGTCTTGCAACAGTTTTGAAAGCTCTTTCACAGGGCATGTAGGTTTTTAAAACAAGCTTTACTCTTTTCAATATATACATATTCCTGTTACTATTATTTCTGCATACCTGTTACTATTATTTCTTTATAAAAACACTTATGGAACAAAATTAGGACTAGAGCAATAAAAAACCCAATTTTTTAAATTAACTTAAGAAAATATATTTGATTAGTACGGTAAGAGGCTATGCTAACTGGTACTAGGGGTAAATGATGCAAATTGAATACCTTCATAGCCTGGGCTTTCTTGTGAAACATTTCTTCCATGTTCTTAGCTAGTCTCTTCACCAGTCGCAGCCCATCAATCTCCTCCACCCTCACTGCCCGCTCAAATTCCTTGTATTTCTGAAAGGAAAGAACAGATTCCAATTATTACAGTACCGGTACTAATAATGTTAGAGATAAATAACACCAGTGTTACATTTTCATTTGAGTAAAGTTCTGGCAGATATATAATGTTACAGTTACTGTTCATCAAATGTATGTATGTATGTATCATTCTGTTTACTAGAGGAATCACACTGTTTCCCAAATGTTTGTAACATCACTGAACTTCCCTGCTTGTTTGCATCCCAACTGAGCTTTTTATGGTTACAAACGCAGAAGGTTCAGACATGGTGTTTTAAGCTTGCCTCTTAAACTACATATTTCCCACTAAATTGGCTTTAAAAGATCTATCTCTCATTGCCACCTTAAACCTTGATTACAGTCCTACTGCAATTTTTTTTTAAGAAAGTAAGAAGAGAAACATTCACATTTGTGACAATTATGGTTTATCCTCTCAAAACCCACCGCTGGCGTTTTAAAGTATTTAAATCTAATAACTCAGAATACATGGAAATGACACTGGTAAAATGTTTACCAATATAGACATGTTAGACATTGTTGGAATGCTTACATCCTACACAATTCAACCACCAAGTTCATTTTATTGACACAGCGAGCACCAAAGCACAATTAACACAGATATAGTAGCATGTCAAAATGTAAACATGACAAAGCAGCCACAAGCAAGCATGTCTGTTCAAAAGAGACCTATTATTTTCGAAAATAAAATCCCCCAACTTTTAGTCATATTTGAGCTGATGCAGCTTGAGCTGTGTTTTACTCATCCAATTTTCATGTATATATTCAGAAACTAGAATGTGTTAGCTTTCAAATAATGTACCACACATATAATTTGGGGATAAAGTTCCTAAGTTATTTGCTTTTCCATTTAGGTATGCAAAATAGGCAAGAATTTCCCAAAATGAGATGGACACAAGAAGAAACAAAAACAAGTTAAAACTACTTTTTAAAAGCAGAATTTATATATATGATTTTTACACAGACCTCACTGTCAGCCTAAAAACAAAAACAGACAAAATAAATACACACATCTTTGGACAAGGGTCACGGTATTGCCCAGTGATAATTGTACCTGTGGAGGAGTTGGAAATTAAAATTGAAATTCAACCTCCCTTGTTGCCGGAGAAACACTGTTTACATGCAATGAGATAATTACTAGAGTGATAGAATTACAATATCAGCAATTCTAAAGTAGAAAATAACTCTATATAAACTAATTTGCATATGAATAAAACCAATTGCATAACCTAGGAATTATCTGTCTTCTTGAGGTCTTGCTTCACAATGAGCATTGATGTCACCCCACTGCCCCCAGTATATGCAGAACACCAAATCTCATTATACAACTGTACACCTCTACAAGGGAGCTCAGCTCAGCAGGGACCTCAACCGAACACCAATATTAAGTCCAGCTATTTAAACACCCATACCTACTACTCACATACAAGAAGGATTTAACTAAAGCAGTTTAAAAGCAAAATGCATGGTTTTATGTAAATAAAGAGTAAGGAGGCTATTTTTCAATCTTATGGGTTTTGACAAATTCAAAGGTATACTAAATAATATGTCCTTGCAAATGTTTATGGCTTTGACTCTAGTTTTAATATATATTTCTAGCAACCAGTAAAAAAAATACATACACAAAGGCAAGTTTGGAAAGGGGAACAGCAAAACAAACTCAGCTTTAGGGTTTACATTTTTTTCCAGAATATTGCAAAGTTATTGTTAACTTAGTGTAAGTTAATAGCAACTAAATGCTGGTATTTTAGCAATTCAAACATTGAAAATGGAAGGGCAGTTTGTTATTAAAGTAATATTAAGCTCCCTCCTCAAAATCGCAATCAGATTAAAGTTTTATTAACAAATTAAATGTTTCATTTTCTCCAGCCAGAAGAACTGTTTAAATTTTAACAAAATCGAGACCAAACATCATAAAAATGAATCCTTTTAGAATTCTGTTACCATGTAAATTAAGGTTATTTTAAAACCTAAATTCACAGCATCTATGCCGTTCTGCTTTACTGCCTTTTCTACTAGCAGCTACAGTTTAAATGCAGTTTCGTCCAAATTATTGAAACAAATTTTAAAGAAATTCAATACAATAATATGACGAGATGATGAGAATTCCTAATTCTGAATAAGAATGTGGAGAGCAATTAGGGAGACCACTGACAACAAAGAACAATCAGGTGATAGGACAGTGAAAAAAATAAATCATCTGGTGAATTCATCTATTTTGCTGTTGGCACTATATAAAAGGATGAGAAAGGAATAGGGGGAGGAAAATACATTGTAAAAGTACAAATGGAGAGGTTTAACAAAGAATTTTAACAGATATTAAACCCAAGACTTGAGGTAGAAGTATTTTCACAACAACAAGAAAAAGGTATAACAGGACAAATAAATAACAGAAGTAAGACCATATTATTAAAATAATTTTAAGACTTTCAAATTAACCACAGAGGGAAGGGCTGAACACTGTCCAAAGCAAACTTTGGTTCCTGTATAAACTTCATGATGACAAACTGCAGGAACAACCATAAGCAAATGACATTTTCAATAAAAAAATATTATAAAAGAGAGCAGTGGCGGCTGGTGAAAAATACTTTTGGTGGGGCTGATATAGCCTAGTGTATGTCTCCAACTAATCCAGAATAAGAATTCAAATAAACAATTGGAAATGAAATACAATTTAACAGTATTGATTTAATTTACTATATAATAACAGTAACAGTGATGATTTTGGTCACTGTGACGGGGTTCTTTGGC